GAGGAGAGAATGGCGATAATAGGGAACAGGTGATGATGGAATAGTCCTTTAATCTGAACAAAGATTTCAGCTTTTTTTTTTTTTTTTTTCCTCCAAATGATTTCACAATCCTAGTATTTTGTTTTGTGGAAAAACGTAAGGTATTACTTTTACAAGGCTGTGTAGGCTCCCATTACCAAGTGTCCTTTTAATCTAAATGTAACAGGAAAGGAAACAGTGACTGAGGTAATGGAGAAACTAAGAACAAAAGAGAACACAGTAGCACAATCAAGGCTTGTACTTGCTAATTAGCTTCCTTCATTTATTGATGTTACCTTGCCTCTATTTTTCCATGACCCCTTCTTATTTCCCCCTGTATCTCTCTGCTTGTGATAGATGTTTCTTTAAGCATTCTGAGTGTAGAAAGTTGTCTTTTATTTCTTGCTAATTAGCTTCCTTCATTTATTGATGTTAGCTTGCCTCTTTTTCCATGACCCCTTCTAATTTCCCCCTGTATCTCACTGCTTGTGATAGATGTTTCTGTAAGGGTTCTGAGTGTAGAAACTTGTCTTTTATTTCTCGGTGTACTTTTAAGTTGGGGGTGAAGGCAATGGGGACAGGACCTAATGTGTTAAAGTTAGTGAGGAAAGAATATTACAGTATACCAGAAGATCATGGAAACAAATTGGTGCTGCTGAGAAGAAACACATGGTCCTGCTCTATTTTAATGGGTATCTGAATGGACACAAAAAGGAATATAAATTCTTACTGGATTTTTTGAGTCATAAAAAGTTAATTTAAAGGAATTGTAAAAATCAGCAGATGATTACAAAGAAAAACTGTAATTTATTTTTGCAATGGTAGTCTAATATTGCTGGTTTTCTTTAAGAATAGTTTTATAATAATATGAAAAATATGACAGTATCGTCTAATGTGTCATAAGCAGTTGCAGTCATCTCATTCACGCAACTGTTTCTGTAAAGCTTTTTTTATGAAGGTTTGCTATCATTTAGGTAGATGGTAAGCAGTTTTGCTTTTTATGAGGCAGAACTTAAAATCACAGTTCATACAGATCATGTAACAAATAGTAGTCCAGAGCCAAATCTCGTCGTCAAAAAGAGAAATTCAGATACAACTATCATGACAACTTTATGTTGTCTGAAATACTAGATTGATGCAAGATTTTTTTTTTAACCCATCTGTTGCATTTAGATTATTGATATATTCTAGAAGCTACAGCTGGTTAATTCTGAGTTTATCCTCCTATTTCATATCCTTTTCCTATATACTTTTCTGCTTCCTTTGCCAGTAATGGCTGTGTGAAGACTGCAATGTCTTTCCATTTGAGGCCTGTTGTTCTCTGTTTTCTTGCACAGCCTTTTCCAGCTGTCCCACTTTGGGGGTGCCCAGGTCAAAATACTGCCATATTGTTCAGCTGAAATAATGGTGTCTTTTGGAAAGTTTAAAAAAAAAATGAAATATGTTATTTTAGTGAATAGTACCTCACTGCTCTTTCAAAAGCATCTCATAAGCTTGAAGAAAATTAGCCCTAGTGGAAAAGCTTGCTTCAGGTTATGCAGCGTTTTCTACACCTGGTGTTCTTCCTAAAAATAAAAAAAAAGCAAACCAGAAAGTGTAGTGCTCTTTTTTATCAGGCCAAGATGGCTGCTGTTTCTTTTTCCCTTCTTGGATTTCAGGGAGAGGTTGGCTGATGCTTCCGCTGTACCCAAGAAGGGATGCTGTGTGCTTTTGTTACAGACTTGTCACTACAAGGTCACCTAAAAAACAAGGTGAAGTGAGGCATAAAGATTTTTTTTTCTCCTGATTTCCTTTGAATCATCTGGATCGTTACCTGTCCAAAAATAGCTCTGAAATTTTGATGTATCTTAAATTTTCTATCTGGTACTTGACTGCTTGAAATCTTCCTAACTCAGATTATCTTTGGTCTTAAAGTTCTTGTTTGACCTTGGCGTGGTGAAAATTTTCCTGTCAGTGATGCCCTGTTTCTTGAGCCCAGTGTGCCTTCTGAAGGGACGGGTTAAGACAGGGCGGCCATTTTAGGGCCTGACCCTGTGGCCTGACCCTCTGCTGGGCCGCCCCGCAGCTTCACAGGAGGAGGGTGGGTTACACCGTCTGCTTGTTAGAACGGTCTTCAGCTGCTACCCGATAAGAAGATTAAACTCTTACACAAATCTCTTAAAGGCAGTTTACGACGAAGGGAGGTGAAGTTCTGCAGTCAGGCAGTTTACGACGAAGGGAGGTGAAGTTCTTCTGAACTAGAAGCATTGGAGTTGTTTGGATTTAACACACGATGTGTTCGGCACGACTCTCGGAGGCCTCGTGAATTATTTATCTTCTTCATAATGCCACCATTGAATTTTCCTCCTGTCACAGAGGCAGGAGGTTATTGTTTAGAGCGTGGTGTGTGTAATTTGAACTCTCGGCTCTTGCAGTGTGAAAGCTTGCTTGATTTGTGGGAGAGATACTGTTGTTTTCAGTCCTCTGCAAGCCCCGCCTAAGAGGGTGGTGGGATAGAGATGGAGACCATTCAGACACGGCCAGAGCAGGTGAGAGGGTGACTTGCCAGTGACTGAAATATAAACCATATCATCAGTATGGCTTTTTCCCTCCCTCCCTTTTCTTTTGATTCTCTTTGAATTTGGGCAAAAGGTGGAGTACATAAAGAATTTTTTCATGTGTATACTAATTTTGGTCATCACAGTGCAATGTTTGGTTTATGCAACCTTTTTAATGTTGCATGTATGGACCATGTTGTCAGCTCTTGCAAAATTGGGAATTTTATCAGCACTTAAGACTGTACAAGGTTTTTCTCTGTGGTGTTCATTTTATGAGAAGCTCTCTGTTTACATTTTGTCTTATTAAACATATATGGTTGCCAAACATAGGGGTTCATAAGGACTTCAGAAACTTTTTTTTTTAATCTCACTTGAGTCTTTTGAAAAGTAGATACGTAAAGGGGAGCTCTCTGTAAGTGAGCTAGAGCTATTGTTAATGGTTGTTTTTCTCCTCCTTTCTTGCAGGTTCATGTGTTCTCAATTACCTAATCAGGTACTGAAGAGCATCAGTATTATTGACAGCCCTGGCATTCTCTCTGGAGAGAAGCAGCGCATCAGCAGAGGTGAGTTGTAGGGCTCGACACTAACAGAGCTCAGTAACTATTTTTGTTGTACTGGACCAGTCATCATCCTAATCTGTTGGGGCCTGTTTTAGTGGTATTGAGTGGTGGTGTGTCTCAAACTCTTACTACAAGGCCTGTTAAAATCGTGTTCTAAGACTGGAAGTAGGGTTTGGAATTTTTACTCATGAAAACTGTTGGGGTTGGGATTTCTATCATCCTACTCCTACAGCTGCAAATGGCTGTGGTTGCATGGTCAGTTTAACTAATTAGTGCTTTGACACTCCTGACAAAATGCCTTATTTTCATCATTTTAAAATTGCTTTCCACAAAGTTATAATGAATAGGTTCTTATATATAGTATTGAAATTCATGAATGAAGAAATCTTTTGGAATAATTGTAGCTCTTCAAGCTGGTCATGTTTAAAAACTGGGTTTGGTTTGTAAATAAGGTGCTTTTATTGTAGGCATAGCTGCTAGTATTGCTTCTTAAGGTTGCTCAGTCATGCCATAATATCATTTTCAGTTGAAAGAGTTAAGGTAGCAGGAAGAAGAGGGAATGAGAGTTTTTTGTTTAATAAAGTGAAAATTCTGTGAAGAACTAAACGCTGTTTTTAACATGCTCTTTAAGAAATTAGCCAGTCTTTGAGAAAATATTAAAACAAACCAGCATAGTGTGAATAACTTTCTTTCTTGTTCCCTTCAGCTGCATTTCAGTGCATGTCAGGGGTTTCTGTGGAGTTGCAAATGGTAGTGATCCAGCATGGGGCTTGTGCTGCCCTCTGTTTTCACACCTGTGCTTAAGAAAGGCAATCTTTTGTCAGTTGTGTCTGTGGGAGGGGGAAGTAATCAGTTCTTTAACGAATCACACCTGGGATTTTCTGAGGAAATCCTGGAATGAGCACTGCAGCTGTGCAACTAAACTATACTTGCTTAGTAAACTGGTCTACTAGATGTTTCTGGATTCTTTGTTCAGTGTCTGACTGGTTTTTGCCCTCTTTGTTGCTCATATAGTCAAGTAAAGCATTTGTTATGGGGAGACCTGTGTTTTCCTATACGTGGTACGTTAGTAAACTAGCAGAGATGAACAGCATTGAGTGCCCTGCATCTCTGCAAGCAAAGGCTTGAATGTTGCCAAACCAGATGGGTAAAACAAATACTAGAAGTTGGCACTTTCATTTCTAGGCAGAAATGACAAAGTATATAACTAATCATCTTTAGTCTCATCAGATGTCCGTAAAGTATTTAAGTGTCAGTTTACACAGAGTCTGATAAAAATCCAAGTTGGTCTTAAATCTCCCAATCCATTTTCTCCGTATTGGATTCCAGCTCCTTTTTTCCTCCATCAATAAAAAACAGGTTCATCTTTCTCCCTCTCTGCTTCTTAAATCAAAAGAAAATTATGCTCGGCAGCACTGAAATATCTACTGCCACTTCCATGCTATTATGGAAGTGAGCATGAAATGAGCAGAAAACTACAGCATGATATTAATATGCCACAGAAAAAGTGACAAAATTCACCCCGTTAGGGATTGCTATGGAAGTGCCAGACTTCATGGGTGGGACTGGAGATGTTATGTTTCACTGGTAGCCCTGTACTGCTTAAAGGACCATGGCTCTTCGCTGCCATCTGGAATTCCTGTTGTAACTTAACAAAACATATGACTGTTATTCCTTTATTGTTCAGAAACTCCCTTTCTTGATGGTATGTGCCTTATCAATTGTTTTTATGGTCTAGCTGGCCTGCTCTTTGATATAGTAGACTTTTACCCAAGTTGACAGTGCTTAGTCATAATCTCAAACTCATACCTGTTTTACAGGCTTTAACTTGACTAGTTTGCATTTCATGAGTTGTGTTTTTTATTTTTCAATGTGTTAAGGATTGTCTTGAATATGCAGCTTGGCGTAGTTCTTTTATCACATTTTATCACAAATGTGGTTCTCCTGTATGCTGTGACACAACCAGTGTGGTTGTACCGTAAATAAGGGTTTGGGATTCAGCTTTAGACCAATGTTCTCTCTGTGCCCCAGGTTTGCAGGGCAACTGCTGCCAGGGTTTAATGTTCCTTATACTTAGGCATCAGCACCCAAGAGGTACCTAGAAGTCACTGTATGGACCTATTGCATGCTCTTATGGTTAGGCAATACTGCACTCACCCATGTCTGCAATGTTGCATAGTCAGATAGATGCATTTCCTGCATATGACTTTTGGGCTGTTTATGCAGTTTCCATACAGCTGGGTTTGTGGAGCACAAACTTGACTTGTCCTGTGGTACTGCACATGGCAAGGTCTGTCTGACCTGCTTCCTGAAGGAGTTGGACTGACTTCAACATATTTATGCTAAGAGTTCTAATTCAGCATGTTTTGAAGTTTGAGTTGCTTAGATTGCTTTTTAAATTGTGTGTGAATTGTGGAGCACAAACTTGACTTGTCCTGTGGTACTGCACATGGCAAGGTCTGTCTGACCTGCTTCCTGAAGGAGTTGGACTGACTTCAACATATTTATGCTAAGAGTTGTAATTCAGCATGTTTTGAAGTTTGAGTTGCTTAGATTGCTTTCTAAATTGTGTGTGAATGTAGGCAGGATCTTACAAGATGTTTTCTACTGTACCTAAATGTGTCTCTATCAGAGAAGGTTCTGTTTCTACACCTAGAGACCAACAAAGGGTTTTTTTCAATGTAGGCAGGATCTTACAAGATGTTTTCTGCTGTACCTAAATGTGTCTCTGTCAGAGAAGGTTCTGTTTCTACACCTGCAGACCAACAAAGGTTTTTTTTCCTACAAAATGTGTATTGTTACCTTTAAACTCACGGGCTGCTGCTCACTGAAATAAGGTTGCAGCTGGTGTGGTTTGTTATGGTAACTGCCATTTCTTTTTGCTGTGGAGGTGATTACAGACTTAAACGTAGGGGTGCCTTTCTGTGCTTGCCAGGAGAGCTTTAAATATACAGAGTGATTCTTCAGAACTTGTTTTCTGAGAATTTCACAATCTCATAGTCCAAAATTTTATAGTCCATTTTTTTAAGCCTTCGGTTTCTTTTTATTTCTCTCAAACTTTTGTTTTTCTCATGAATCTTGCTGGTATTTCTCAATCATATATACAAGATGAGATTTTTCATAATCCAGTAATGTGACATTTAATAACACTTGGTAAGTATTCTTAGATGCTTTCTGTTCTGCACATTATAGGTGACTGTTTATATCTGAGTTTTGAAATTAACCTTCTAGAAGTTTAGCTTGGTTTCTAACATTAGTGATCAGCAGCTTTTCTTATTGGTGATGTTCTAATGTGTTTGATGGAAGAATAACATTACCCGACCTCAGGTGTAAAACCTTCACTCTTTGCTGTATGTTTTTTTTCCATCTTTCCATGGACAGCTGCTTAACTATTTACCTATGAATGGACGTAACACCTGCATAATGATAGAAATTAACAGGTATCACTAGAGTAAGGTGAAGCCTTTGAGACCAACAAAGCAATTAAATGTTAACTTTCAGTTTTACAATGCAGGAAAGCAGTAAAGCAACTATATAAAAATTCAGGATATGTGCTTCTTCCCAGCATGTTTTATTTATAACTCTGGAAGGCACCCAGGCCATGGATGAAGGAGCTGATTGCTTTTTGAAGGGTCAAAAATATACACTGAGTGCAACATTCAAAGCTGTCTCTCTTGACACACCTTTCCCACTCTGGTTGTTGGCAGGAGGATGTGCCAGAAGCTTCCTGCCTGTCAGTCCGGGGCCTGCTTAAGTAGCTGGAGAAGAACGTGCAGATGTGTGCCAGCATTGTCCCCGGTCAGACAATGACCGTCCCTGTGCTGCTTCTGCAGCATCACTGGTGACGCTCACAGAGACCCTGTCAGACAGGGATATGCGTATGGTCTGAAAGACTTGGAAGGAACAATGAGCGTAAGGAGAGGAGGAAGGTGAAGCAATGTCTGTCAGGGTGTGGGGAAGAACCGCTTTTAGAAAGGGGAAAGGGACTGGTTCGAGTGGCATGAAGCCAGGGGTTTCCAGAAGTATGGGGAAAGAGCTCAGAGGAAAATGGAGGATATTGGTTGGCTTGCATTTTTAGAACTGGAGTTACTTAAATGCAGGTAATTTTCTCAGTTCGATCTAGCTTGTGCAAAATGTAGTCATGGATTAAGTAAGGAGATGTGTATAGTTGCAACATTGCCTCAGGCTTTCCCTTGCAGTGAGACACTGTACATTCTCTTTAGGATTAATCCACCAACAGGAGTGCAATAAGAGTGTTATCCAGGAGTGCTGGATTGAGACAGGCTTTCATTAACCATAACTGGAAATGTCCAGCCTGGACAGTAAAAAGTGTATCTGGGGTAGTTTGGATGCTCACCTGTGGCAAAGCATTAGAAGAAAGCAGACTGGGGAGGTGGGGGGAAGGCTGCTCTTGTCCATATCAAAACTGTGTGTTGTAGCCTTGGTTGTGTGGTACTTAGATAGCAATGGCAGGTAGGATCTCTCCAGTGCTCTGTGCACCTCTGATTCATCTGGCAAATGGATATTGTTCTCCTAGCTTGGAGGCTCCTCATTGCAGCATTCATCCGAGAGGTGCCTCTCCTCTGCTTTGCCAGTAGCTCCAGCCCCAGGGGTGGAAGAACTCTGCCTGTGCTTGCAGAGGTTGGATGGAGCCCATCAAGCCTCCCTAATTGTTTTCTGCATTGCAAAAGCAAAAGACAAAGTATAGGGATGACTTGTGACTTTCTAATATGCATTTGCAAGTAGATGTTGTACCTAGTGAGATATAGATCCTCAGGCTGGGTATAATTGCTGACATCAGTCATTGGCACAAACCTTTGAAGGAATAGCAACAGTAGAGCAGCAAGAAGCTGAGAAGTATTAACAACATATTTTTTTGATCATGTTTTCCAAACTGCTCGTTGTTGACCCAGTACTGCTGGACATTGAAAGCCCTAATCCATACATGCATGTACTGTATATGACAGGACCTAAATGTGTTGTGTCTCAGTGCTGTCCTATGTTTCCTTTCAAGGTCATTTGACTGGTGGGATAGATCTGCATTTCAACAAGCAGGCTTCTTCTTTCTTAAAGCAAATGTTCATTAATGTTTATTTATTTAATATACAATTATTGCTAGTTAACATCTACAGTTGTTTTTACAGTTCAAAATCCATCAAATGTGTGGTAGGAATTTTAACTAGCCTTATAAGTCACCTTCTTACATATCTGTTTGTCAAAAACTTAACACAATTTGACCACCTTCATTTTGCAATTTTATGTATTTCGCTTCAAGCAGATTTCCTTCTACCTCAGTGAAAACAGAACAGATTATTGCATAGCTACTATCTGTGCACTGTTGCAACTCTGTTGTGACATGCAAGTGACATACAAGATCTCACTTCTCCCTTTCTTTCCTGCTAAACTTCTATAAAGATAATTATTCATACTGGTTTTGATAAGATTGTTGGTGTAAAGGGAGGGGAGTTCTCTTTGAGATGTGTTTTGTGCAACTCTCCTTGCTCCCACCTTTCATCTTATGTTTAGCTCTTCAGAACTAGTCACAGGAAAGAATGAACCTATGAAAGCACCAGAGCAGCACTATCTGCAAAGGGGCATTTTTGTATTCCTTACAAAGTAATCCTTTTAACGGGAAAGGTTATGTTGGGCATTTGTTGTGTTTATTGTTTTTTTTTATAATCACCTAGTGAGTCTGACCTACATCCTTTTGGATGCTAATAATATCTTTCTAGAGTAGCTCTCATTTCAGTTTGTATCTGTGCTGGATTTTTAGTGAAGTTTTTTGATCTGTATTGGGAAGATGGAGGGCAAGTACCTGAAGACACTTTCTTACTATTAACTAGAACTTCTGGATTTTATTTCATATGCTGTTTGTCACTTTTAAACAAAAAAAAATTTAAGACTGAGTTCTTTCTTATGTTGCTGAACGTGCACAAGTATGCCCTGTGACAAATCTAGAGTTCACCATTTTTCCTATTACTTTAGTGTATGTCTGCTTTTCTTGATGTTGGCCCTAATCAAGTTGTACTGAAAAGCAAAAAAAAGCTGATTTGCTTTTGGGTTCCCCATTAAAGACCACTAACGTGAAAGTACAGTGAATAATGACTTGACTGAACCAACATTGTTTTAGGAAAAGCTGAGCAACTTTGCAATGTCCCCATACTTTTTTATTTATACTGTTTACAAGATGCTAGGGAGAAGGAGGAATGGTGAAGAGTGTTTTGCCTGTGTCTGGACCAGGTGTATGAGGTGTTTGTATAATTGGCTCATGTATGAGTAGTCTAAGTGGGTTTTCTTTGCTGGGGGATTGAAGGTTTAAAGGCTTATCTTACTCAGCTGCGAAATAACCAAAGACACTCTGGAGGGCTCACTGGTGGTAACAGATTTCTTTGCTGTTGGCATTTAAATACATGGTGCTGAGGGTAAAGCTGTCAATTCTGTTTGGGTTACTTTACATCAGTCCTTGCATTCTGATTGCTCCCCCTTTTAGCTCTGATTTCTTTCTGAGTGGAAGAGTAGGGGTGGGATATTGGCTCCCAGCTCAGATCTTGCTGTTCCTTACTCAAACAAGATGAGTCACACCTGGTGACTCTCTGTGGATTAAATGTGTCACTGGTGAATAAGGAGCTCCTGAATACTGTTTGTTGTGTGGACTAGGCTACCAGATGCCTTTATAAAAGCATTCAGACAGGTGCTATGAATAGACTTTCCTTTAGAATTTCAAAAAGTTTTTTTCAGATCATCAGAAAGGTCACTACTCATTGTGTTCTGTAACGTCCCCAAAGCCATCAGCAACGTAGGTGTATTACTTGTAAATTGGATCTCTGACTTTGCCGTGGTAGAAATAACAGCAAGTGTTGCAATACAAGGAGAAATGGGTTCAGAAATGGCTTTAAAATCCAAATATTTTTGTTTGCTGACTTATGCTGGAGTGCTGCACGTGTGGTGTATTCCTTGTTGGTACAGACAGGCAGTGCTACCAAAGTGGCCAGTGTTAACAGTGACAGAGAGGGCTTGTGATAAGAGCCCCACAGAGCTGCTTAAGCTTGGGCCCTCTGCTGGAGCCACAACTCCTGGGAAGAGGCAAATACGGGTGTGAGATGGTAACTCACAGTAGCGCAAAAGATAGTGACACAGGAGATGGATGGCAAGGTTGAAAGAAGGGCAGTGATAAAAACAACAATAACAACAACAAAAAAAAAACAACAAAAAGGCAGGAATAGGGAGACTGGCCTAAGGAAATGTAGGATACGGTTGTCCTGACCTCATTGTCCACAGATACCCTCTTCCAGGTGGTCCATCTCCTCTTTTTCCCCCATGAAGATGCTATGATTCCCTTGTTCTCCATCCCCAGCCCTACCTTCTCTAAGACTCGCTTTTCTGAATGGTATGACTGTATGGTCATGTATTCTGAATGGTATGTGTGTTCTTCCTTCAGGCTATGACTTCTGCCAAGTCCTCCAGTGGTTTGCTGAGAGGGTGGACCGCATCATCCTCCTTTTTGATGCCCATAAGCTGGATATATCTGATGAGTTTTCAGAGGCTATTAAGTCATTCCGGGGCCAGGATGACAAGATTCGAGTGGTGCTTAATAAGGCTGACCAAGTGGACACACAGCAGCTGATGAGGGTCTACGGTGCACTCATGTGGTCCCTGGGAAAGGTGATCAACACTCCAGAGGTGCTGCGGGTCTACATTGGCTCCTTCTGGGCCCATCCTCTCCGAAACACAGACAATCGAAGACTCTTTGAAGCTGAGGCACAGGATCTTTTCAAGGATATCCAGAGTCTCCCGCAAAAGGCCGCTGTGCGGAAACTCAATGACCTCATTAAGAGGGCGAGACTTGCAAAGGTAAGAAAAGATAAAAAAACCTAAATTAATTGAATGAACCGTCTCTTCTGTCTCTTTCAGTGTGTCCTTTCTCACCCTTCCCAATCTTTCCCTACATATAAACTGTGTTTTTCAGCAAATTGATTGAATTGTCAGTTTTTCACAGAAGAGGTAGCCACCCAGGATATAGAAGCAAGTAGGAGGAAATCAAGACTTGTACTGGGATGCCTCCCTAACCTTAGAGAAGGGATTTGATGCTTTTTAGGCTGCTAAAGCTATTGTTTGCTCAGTGGGGGACTGAATATTTTTTTTTTCTCTTACACTGTACAGCAAGGTAATCTTAATGCTCTTTTTTGGAGATAAACCACCTTTCCACTTTTGATGTTTTTCTTTAACAATGGTTGGGATGTAGAGAACAGTCTTTTTAAAACAAAAAAAAACAAAGATAAAAAGGTGTGCAAAAAATCACAATCAAAACTATTCATATGCAGCCTTCCATATGCCTTTTTGTAGAGAACAGTCTTTTTAAAACAAAAAAAACCCAAAGATAAAAAGGTGTGCAAAAAATTCACAATCAAAACTATTCATATGCCTTTTCGCATATTAATGCCTTAATGCATACTCTCAATCAGTTGCTGTGGAGACACACTTTTACTAAATGCATTTATGTTATATCCTGGAATACAAGACTGATTAAAAGCCTTACTCTTGCTGAAGTACAGATACTGATGAATTGGAGAGGTGCTTGTGCATTAGATTGACATTCTTGAGCCTCTCAGATTGTATCTTCTTCACTCCCTGTAACAAAGACACTGCTGTGATACAGACTTTGTGTCATAATATCCAGAAAACTCATTATGCTGAAATATGAGTTATGTGCTGCATTGTAGGTAGCCCCTGTCCACTGTTCCCCATGTTTTTGGCTCTGGAGGAGTCACATGCATTACGTGCAACTTACAGTCACTAACTAGTGTGTGTGGGCAGGCTGTCTGTGACAACACTGTGCTGGCCATTTAAAACCTGTTTAATTTTTTTGGTAGGTTTTTTAGTTATCTATGATGAATGAGTGGATGTCACTTTAAAGCTTTGTGAATGACCACCAAGTTTTAATTACCTATTTATAAAACCTTCTAGTTGTATTTTACACTTATCTTCAGACTCCCTGCTTAATGATGCTAGCTTCTGTCCTTTCTTCTCATAGCCTGACTAGAATAAGCTTTGGTTGCTGTCTAAAATACTTCTTTACCTGGTTCTCTGATTCTGCAGTGGGCTTCTTTTATTGTAGCACTGCAGTTGCTGTTAGAATAATAGTTAAAAGCACTGCCAAGTTTCTTGTTATTTTGAAAAGCTTAAGAATAAAATGAAGATTGGTGATTCAAGAATTATGATTTGTCATGTGGAAAACTGGAGAAGGAAAACTAACTTCAGAATACTTGGGGAGAAGGCTGGTGGTACCAGACAGAAATTCTAATTTTAAAGTATGTTGAGATTTCCTATGCAGTTACCAATGAGAATGTGAGTGGACTTAGCGTGGTTGTGTTGGAACACATTTTCATGTGGACTTCTAAGCAAAAATGAAGAGGATGTGCACTTACAGCAATGTAAGAATAGTTGTGTGGAGATGTATACCACTCCCTATGTTGGCTTAATTAACTCTCTGAATATAGTGATACACTTAAGTTGGTTTGGTTTTTTTATGGGCTGAGCTTTGGGGTACCCCATAGCAGTTGCATCTTTGAAAATTCCATTTAAAATCACATTCCTGATGATGTTGTGTTAAAAGTTGCTATAATCTCAGTCTATTTTGTGGATATTATTGGCAGCTTTTTGCTTTCATTTGTTAGAATTGTTTTGAAATTGGAAAAGTCCAATGAATTGTTTTTAGGTGTTTCTATGTAATGTCAAATAAAATGGATAAAAGTAAATAAAAAATACAATGCTCACAGGGCATGCTAATTAGGCAGTTATGGAAGGGGAATAAACTGTTTATCTACAGGAAAGCAGCAATGTAATCTTTCCTGTGTCGTCATTCTACCTTCCAAACTGAACTTAAAGTACTGACACTCAAAAAATCATTTTTTTACGGTGTTGTGTGGTATTTTTTTGTCCTATTTCTTAATCTATTCTAAAGCATGCACAGTAACCAAAACCAACAGCAAACTGTTAACTTGCAGTCAAATTTGAGCATTAGCTTTTTTTTTTTTTAAAGTCCTGTGACTCACTATGCCATTTTGAAGATGGAAACTATTCTTATCTATAAGAAACACATGTGCCTACTTGCAAACCTTAGGCCACTTAGCGTACACATAGGAAACTGTTACTGCTTGTGAACTATAAACATACTTTTCTGGTTTTGATATAAGTATTATTTTAAACATAAGATCCATAAAACTGCTTACAATTATTTATAAACTCTCTTAGAAATGTCCTTGTTGAATCGCTTAGAATCATAGAATAGTTTGGATTGGAAAGGACCTTTTAAAGGTTCTCTAGTCCAACCCCCCTGCAATGAGCAGGGACATCTTCAACTAGATCAGGTTGCTCAGAGCCCTGTCCAACCTGATGGTCCCAGCAATTGGGCATTTACCACCTCTCTGGTCAACCTGTTCCAGTGTTTCACCACTCTCATTGTAAAAATTTCTTCCTCCTTCTATTGTTTTAGAGAAATACTCACATCTACCCTGTCAGAAAATTTAATGGACTTATGCAAAAACCCTGCTGCTTTAAGCTGTTATTTTTTTTTCTCCTCTGTAGAAATTGAAATTTATCTGCAATTAAAATTAATGCACTTTTTCTATATATGAGGAAGTGATATTGAGTGTGAATTCCTCTCCACTTTTCTTACAAGTCAAATGTGAAAGTTGGGATCTTACAAGTCAAATGTGAAAGTTGGGATCTCAAGACATGCAAAGAAGTCGTTACACCTTTTTTCTTTAAAAAAAGAGATATTTTTTTCCAGTTTCCTTTAAGCCTTCTTAAATAAGTAAGAAAAGGAACTGGAAAGCACTTTCCCTATACAGATTAAGTTTCCTTTAAGCCTTCTTAAATAAGTAAGGAAAGGAACTGGAAAGCACCTTCCCTATACAGATTGTGTTAGGTTTGTACAGAATACTATAAGGTACATTCTGTGGTGCTTTGGTAGGTATTAAGTATACTTACGCCATATCTAGGTAATCACTTGGTTCTAACAATGCTATTTTGTGGTAGTATGTCTTAGCCCATTCTTCAAAATTTCAGCTTTTTACCATTCAGTGGTTTGATACCTTCCCTATACAGATTGTGTTAGGTTTGTACAGAATACTATAAGGTACATTCTGTGGTGCTTTGGTAGGTATTAAGTATACTTACGCCATATCTAGGTAATCACTTGGTTCTAACAATGCTAAATGTGTTAGGTTTGTACAGAATACTATAAGGTACATTCTGTGGTGCTTTGGTAGGTATTAATTATACTTATGCCATATCTACGTAATCACTTTGTTCTGACAATGCTTTTTTGTGGTAGTATGTCTTAGCCCATTCTTCAAAATTTCAGCTTTTTACTGTTCAGTGGTTTGATAGAAAATAGCTTTTTTTTTTTTTTAATGTGTTTTCCTCTGTGTGTGAAAACTGTATGTAACTTCTGTTTTGGCAACAGCTACATCCTTATTTTAATGAAGAAAGGCCTGGGTTCTGTAAACACTTAGCCTGTTGTGGAGCTTAGGAAACCATTTGATTGCTTCAAGTTATGATAGATGGGCATGGCTTGTTAAAGAAGCCGGCCCTTGTGCTTCCCTCTTGTGTGCAGCACAAATGTCTGTGTCCACACAGTGAACTGGGCAAGTGAACTCACCTCAGTTAAGAAGTGCAACTCACCATTTCTGTCCTGTCTGGAGCAGATCACTCGCTTTCTGGCCACGCAGGTCCTGTTTGTGGTGGGAGAGTGGTAAGGGGAAGAGATGGATGGCTCGGGGGTTAGGGTGGAAGGAGGGTGCGTGGGCAGGATGGATGTTTTGATGGCAGGGCTGAATTATCAGAATCACGGCAGATGGGAAACTTGAAGAGCGCTACAAGTATCACTGTGTTTCAGGACTTGTCATCCTAAATTAATGTCCGTCTGTATATGCTGGAATGACTCTACTTTTCTCGCTAAGGCTTTGCGAGGCAGCCTGGGCATGCAGCTGTTAGAACTGAGTATGTCATCCTCTTGTGGCTGCGTAAATATAGACTATAGGTGTCTGTCCTGTCTGGAGCAGATCACTCGCTTTGTGGCCACGCAGGTTAAAACAGACTGACTACTCTGTCAGCCTCTTGTGGCTGTGTAAATATAGACTATAGGTACTCGCTTTTCTGGGAGTAAATAGGTAGGAATGCAGTGCCACTTCAATTAGATAGCTCGGCCACTTAGCATACTTGGGTTATTTGAGGCATTATGCTGTTGCTTCCCACAATAATTGGCGAGGCAAATGGAGTTACAAATCTCTGCCACTGAGAGAGGTGGACAGATATGGCTGGTACTCTGTGTGTGGTCCGTGCCTGTAGTATCAGGACGTGGATTTGGGGCCTTGCTTTTGCTCTGACTGTTGGTACTGATAGAATGCTGTACCATGCTTCTGCTTAAACTGCAAGTATCCATCTGTATTTCTTTTAAATGTGTTTGCTTTCTCTCTGCCCCTCAAAGGAATGCTGAAAGCAGCAAAAGCTAGTTGATAACTGTTCATATAAACATGAAGTTCCAGAAACAATTGTTGATAATATCTTATCCTTGAACTGACTTAGGGAAACGTTATTTCTGTTTCTTTTCATGACGTGGGTGAAAAACACTAATGTTAACTGTAGATAAACAGTAGTACTGATTTCAGTTTTGCTTCTTAGGTTCATGCTTATATCATCAGTTATCTGAAAAAAGAAATGCCCTCTGTTTTCGGGAAAGAGAACAAGAAGAAGGAACTGATCAGCAGATTACCAGAGATCTACATCCAACTGCAAAGGGAACACCATATCTCAGCAGGGGACTTCCCTGAAGTCAGTAAAATGCAGGTAAGGTGATAGATTACAGTTCCTCTGGAATAATATTAACTTTCCAACAGGACCACTGAAGTGGAAAAAGTAGGACAGATGAGGAGCCTGCAGCTTGGTCTGACCATAGGCTAGTGATGAGTGTGATGGAGAATGTTTTCCAGCTTGACTCTTGTGTATCATTCTGACAATTTATGTGGTACGTTTACACTGCTCATCATAGAGTGGTGACTGGCTGATTAACCTGTCTATAGGGATGCACAGGTTTCTTTTAAGAATTAAATATTTAACTTGGGAATCAATTATTGGCATGAGACAGTAAATTATAGATGAAGCACATGTCTTACTTCCCTAGGTTTTTGCAGGTAGGATTGTTGGAAGGGTTTAATGAGTTAGGTTTTAAAAGGGGCTTGTGTAGAAAGTTGACTCTTTCTTTCCTTGCTGCTTTTCTTGGCGATGGGGAATGAGAGAATATAAGATGATCACTTGTCAGTTTGGATATTGAAACGAAATTTGAATGGAACTTTATAACACTTATAGTGCATGTCGCTAAGCCTGAGCAGCAGATGGCAGCAAATATATGCATGAGAGATAAGTCACTCCTGTAATGAGGAGTAAAATAGTGACATAATAAAATTGTGCCAAAACAGATAGCAGATTTGACCTTTGGTTTCTAAGATTTATTGTGTATCATAAATTTATCCTAACTGTTGCTTGTAAATCAGGTGATTGTGTATAAATGTCACCTGAACAGCAATGGTTGTTGGTTGATGGTTTTCCTCTAAGAAATCTAAAGTTCTGTGTACATGGGCAAAGCCATTAGCCAGTGCTTCAGGTTTCTTGGGTTCATATCTTCATAGTTCTGATATGTGTGGGAGCAGATCCCTAAGGCAGATGTGATTTGTCAAAGCAGTTTAACGCTGTTTTGAGAGGAGGCTTAGGGGAGTTTGGGTATTTTAACAGTTTCCACTGTAACTCTTTCTTCTTGGCTATCATTTTGCATGTAGAAATCATTTAATAATTGCTTAAAGTGTTCTTAATTTTTCAGTGTTCTGGTGTGAAACATGCTTGGGCTTGAAATACCACATATCACTTAGTTAAACATCTCATTGAGATTGGTAGGAGTTTATGTACAAGATGAAAACTCAGCAAGGAACCGTGTGACTTACGAGTTCTGGCAGAACTTCTATAAAACCACTGCTGCTGTTATCCAACTCAGTTTTTCTTTATTGGTAAAGGACATTTCATGACCTAACCACAAACAAGAAGTTAAATCTATAAAATCAGATCAGTCCTGCAAACTCTTGGATTTACTTTTAACTTAAATACTTGCATAAGTGATAGCAGAACTGAGGGCCTACTTTCATACTTTCTCTGATGTCTGGAAGAAAATCGCCAAATGGAAGGTTCTTAGGTAACATCAACTGCCATGTTTTTATGCATTGCTGTTTTGAAAATTGTATTGTAGATGTAATTTAATAGACCAGCTCATATACTGTTGGAAAGCTGTCTTAGTGTACTTCAGCAGCGTATTAAGTGTGTCAGCTTTGCTTCTGCTTCAAGAGGGCTTTCAGTTATGGAAACTGCTTCAAAAGGTAACAGATTATTTTAGTTTAAAGCCCGTTCCTTAACCTGTTTCAATGTTTTGGAATTTTTTTTAACTACTGTCACTGAAACCTTTGTCATTGACAGGAGCTGTTGGAGAATTGTGACTTCACTAAATTTCACTCTTTGAAGCCAAAGCTAATTGAAGCTGTGGATAACATGCTGGCCAACAAAATTGCCTCCCTGATGAGCCTGATCAGCCAGGAAGAGAGCAATATGCCCACAGAGATGGTACATGGTGGAGCATTTGATGGCACCATGGCAGGACCCTTTGGCCACGGATATGGAGAAGGTGTTAAGGAAGGAGCTGATGAAGAGGAATGGGTTGTTGCCAAAGATAAACCTGCTTATGATGAGATTTTCTACACTCTGTCACCAATCAATGGCAAAATATCTGGGATCAGCGCAAAGAAGGAGATGGTGACTTCTAAACTACCCAACAGTGTCTTGGGGAAGATCTGGAAACTCGCAGACTGTGATGGTGATGGGATGTTGGATGATGAGGAGTTTGCATTAGCAAAACACCTTATCAAGATTAAACTGGATGGATATGAACTTCCAGGCACACTACCTTCCCACCTGGTGCCACCATCTCACAGGAAACCTTTGCAGACAGCAGAGTGAAAAATACAAGAATGAGGGTTTTGGAAATCTTTCTGTGTTGAAACCACCAAAATTTGAAATTAGTCTTAGATCCTTAAACCTCACAGCACATTTCATGCAAGTTACTGAAATTAGAAGCATAGTAGCAGGGAAACATTCATGTACTTGTCCCTGCTGACCTTCACTGAGACATGCTTATCACAAGTGCCTTGTATAGATCTATCATAATGTGTGATGGCAAGGTGAAAATGTTTTTGTAGTCCCGCTTCCATGTCTTGCTGCCTTTATAACCATAAAGCAGAAAAGACCATGTATACAAAGCACTGACCTTCACCAAAACTAAATGCTTTTATCAACCATAAGTTTTCCCAAACTATTTTAAATAGTGCAAGGAAGCTCTAAATGTTAAATGCACCTGCCTATGCAAGGAACGTTTTCTATGCTAGAAACATACTTTAGGCATCGAGTGAATGTCAGCATCTCTATAGTTTAAGAAAAGCCAGGTATAAAAGGAAATTTTATTTTTGTTCTTTTTTCTTTATTTAATTTGGGGGTAGAAGAAGAGAGAAGAGTGATGGAGAGAGTCTGAGAGTCTTTTAAGTGCTCAGAATATGAGCAGACTTGTTTTAGAACAACTTTGCTGATTTGCTAAAACTGTAAAATATTAAAATGATTCTTTCAATCTGTCATCACTGTGTCTTGTCAGAACTCCTCCTTCAGTTTTATGCAGCACTATATACTCAGTATTAATGTTAAAAGAACTGAATGTTCTTTGCTCCTTGGATTTGTAGTCTCTTTTGAGGTTTCAGTTTAGCTGCTCTGCAGACAATAAATTCCTGACTTGTTCAAAGTGACAGCAGAATGTTTTTGTAAGCTTAAAAAAACCCCAGATCACATTTCCATTGGAATCAAGCCTCGCTTTCTGTTCAGGAAAGGTGCATTGCTCAAAGTCAGCCTCTTCAAAGCACATCAAATTGTCTCGGGAAATTTTCATTGGTATTAATTTCTATTTACAGGTAATTATACAGTTATCTCTGCATTTTTTTATATATATAATATTTTTAAGAAAAGTTTTTAACATTTTGTTTTGCCAACATGTAGCTGACAACCACAAAAGATACTTTATTTCTATGGCGGCAGATTTGAAAGGTGGGGAGACTAACAGCAATCTTTACATTGACTGTAATAAGGGATAGACTGGTCCCTCCACATTTTATTCCTTTATTGGAAATAACCTGTGAAAGGAATGGATGCTTAATAAACATTCGTTTTTCTAACAACACAATCAAAATTGAACATATTGGCTGCTTACAACTGATTTTTATCAGTACCTTTAAAGTATGTGAATTTTTGGCCCTATGAACTTGAGTCTTTCATGGAGGGCCAGTTCTTTTCTAAAGTCAAACTTGGCAGTCAGGTTTTCTCTACGCATGTGAGCAGGAATTGACTTGTATTCCATCTGTAGTATGAAATACCCTACACATCAAAGGTACTGTAGTTTTGAGCACTTTTTCTTTGAGTCTCAGTCAGTGGTATCAGTAGTGCCTTCTGAGAGCAAGCCAAAAGATGTTTTAGCATCCTTTCAGTAGAGGTGGGGAGGGAACTGGTTTGGGTATTGTGCCCCAGTGAAGGTTTTAGTCACACTTACATGTTCAGATTTGTACATGACCTAAAAAGAGCATCAGCTTGTTCTTTCAAATCGTACATTTGTAGGTTGTCAGTCAGGTTTAATGCTTCAAATCTTTCCAGGCCTCTTATCTTTCTGCATCTATTCTATTTTGATGTGAAATTACCATGAACTTTGCCAGGGCTCTACCATGGGAAAACAATGAAGCTATTTTAAGTAATGACAGAAGAACACCTTTACCTTGCCAGGCTTCCAGGACTGTATCAAGGATATCCTGGCATAGTTAAATTGTTCTTAAGGACTTGCTTGATTATTTTTTTTTTTTTTTTTTTCCCGTGTCTTTCGCTCCTCCTCCTCATGGCTGGCAGCAGCTCCGCGGCTCACGCGGGAGGTTGTTCTGCAGCAGCAGAACTGGTGCTCTGGGATTTCACAGCCCATCGACTTTTCCAGGCCTGTCTCTCTTTTTTTTTAGATCTTTTTTTTTTTTTTTTTTTTTTTTTTTTTTTTAAATTCTTAGGTTTATCTCCTATCATTCAAGCATACCAACTTTATTTCTGTTAGACCTAAATTAGGAGCCAGATTAGCCTGAGTGCATCTCGGTGCACTTTAGTAGAGCTGTGAAACTTGACCATGAGTCTATCTGTGTGACTCTAAATCTGGGGAGTAACTGATTTTCTATGTAATTTATTTTTGGTTGAACAAAAAGTAGTCTATAGACGTTGCAGGAGTTGTTTTTTAAAAGAATGGGCTGCAGAAGTAATAATGTATGCCTGTTTGTGTGTTGTGTCTACAGTCAGAAACAAATTCACACACTAATGACCAACTTTGCTAGCTTAGTAAGGAAAGTAAGTAGCTTGTGTATTGTGAGTACTGTAGTGTGGGCAAAGCTAAGAGGATCTGGGATGTTGCTTGTCTTCCATCTGTCTGCCTTACCTCACTCTTCAACACAGGGTTCTGGGGATGGCCCATGTTTGAGTTCCTACTGCGTGTAGCTTCCAGGGCTGATGGTTGGTCGGTGAAGCGGTGGCAGCAGCACCGCCAGCACCAGTAACAAGAACTGAGGTGAGCTCGTGGGGAGGGTTGTATCGTGCTGTACAGAGGGGTTTCTGAGCTCAGGGACCCCCCACTGAGTCCCAGCCAGAACCTGGGCTCCCCAGTTCAAGAAGGACAGGGGACTGCTGGCGAGGGTACAGCAAAGGGCCACAAAGATGATTAAGGGCCTGGAGCACCTCTCCTATAAGGAGAGGCTGAGGGACTTGGGTCTTTTTAGTCTTGAGAAGAGAAGGCTTAGGGGAGATCTGATTAATGCATACAAATACTTAAAGGGAGGGTGTCAGGAAGACGGGCCTGGTCTTTTTTCGGTGGTGCCCAGTGACAGGACAAGAGGAAATGGGCCCAGACGTGAGTGTAAGCGGTTCCACATAAATGTGAGGAGGAACTTCCTTACTGTGACAGTGGTAGAGCACTGGAACAGGCTGCCCAGAGAGGTGGTGGAATCTCCTTCTCTGGAGACATTCAAAACCCTCTTGGACAAGTTCCTGTGCAATGTGCTGTAGGTAGACCCGCTCCGGCACAGGGGTTGGACTACATGATCTCCAGAGGTCCCTTCCAACCCCGTATGATTCTATGTTCTAAATGCATTGGAGTTAAGTGATCCCCTACCAGTAGAAACGTCTGCCTTCAGTGAGAGGAGCAAGGTAGTTTCTCAGTGACTGTCTTTCTAGCTTTATTGGTAGTAAAATGGAGAACACAGCCTTTTCTTCAGTCTGCATGACAGTGTGCTAGCTTGGGCTTAGGGGAGACAAATTGAAATGCATCATTTTGTTAAGTACTTTGTCTAGATGGGGTTGACATGTTTAGCTTTGGTTTTCCTGTAGAATTTGGAAGGGGAATGCAGGAAGCATGTATATAGGGGTAGAGGTGGATTTCCTCTGTTTATCTGGAGGAATAGAAGTGCTTCAGGATCGGCATGTAAAGCTGCATGCATAAATGTATTTCTAAATGTGTGGTGCAGTGCAGTAGCATTGCACTTGGTTTATAGGAATAAAGTACATTTCACTTGGACTTTAAACAGCAGCTTCTTGCACAGCTAAACGGATATAGTAGGTTGCTGTTGCTCAGGGGAAGGGTCCTCTTTTCTCACTACCTCCTCACCTACCTGTGGGCCTCCTCCATTTGCCTTGCTGGCTCTCTGGCTTATGAATGCGAGCCTGTTCCACACACAAGTTTGGATAATGATCTATGTATGGAGTCAGTGAGTCCATGTGTTAGGAGCATGAGAAGTGAGAAGGATTACCTTCTTTCATGAAATTGTGCTCAAAGTAGTTATTGGGAACAGCAATATGAGGTAACGTGGTGTTCAGTTTGATGCTACTAATACCTGGTGAAGAATGACTAAGATGTTGGTTTTCTTGGCCATTTTATGCCTAGGATTCTGATTACATTTGCTGTGAGACCATTCAAAATTGTCAATAATTCATCCTGTGAAATCAGTGCCCACTGGTGTAGACTGCTGCCATAAACCAGCATAGAGACTGCTGCTTTTACCTCTTCTCCAACTATTCTGCAACGCAGTTTTAATTCCCAACCCTAATTCTGCTCCCACAAAAAATAATTAGAATTTTGTTGTAGATTGGGACAGAAAATCTGGGGCTACCGCTCACAACCACACTACAGGACAGCGAGAGTCTTTTAAAATTGTGACACTTTGAAAATGGTGAATTTACAAAGATTTTTAGGTCAGGGTGCGGTCCCAGTTGTTAGTTGAGGAACGTGGTCTCAAAGCAGCAGTGTCTGGTCCCTGACTTTCAACATCATCATTTATCTCCAGTACTTGAAATGCACCCTCTTTTTCTTCTTCTCACTTTTCCCTTCTCAACATGCACTCACTTTGGTGGCTCTTTATACTGTTAGAATTCATGCAGAGTTTGAAGTGTATGATTTGATGTGTATTTGTAACTTAGCACTGAGAGAATGAACATGAACTTTGTTTTCTACTTCACATGCTCACCTTTTCCTGTATTTTTGTTGAACACTGTATTTTCACTTTGAAGGCACTCTAATTTTTGAGGGAAGGCTTGATCTGTGCAGTGTGCTTCAGTTTGTCTAACTAGGCAAACAAAGCTGTAAGTTCATTACTGTTGCACTTTTATTACACAATAAATTCCTTGCAGATACTGTAATATATTTTAATATGCTTTGTAATCATTTTTAGAAAGTGGTGATAAAAAATGCTGATTTAATAAACTAATATTGAACTACCAGAGGTTTTCTTTTGTAAGCTTCTTTCTGGAAGGTAATCTTTCATGAAGTGACTAGAATTTTGTAATCCTGCTACTTAAGGCTCATAGGCAGAGCAGCTATTTGGCAAGCTGCTCATTTTCCCACCTCGGTTTGTGTATCCGTAATAGGTTATGGCTCTTTCTCTTCTGTGTCCTTGAACTTGTTGCTGAAATTACTGCCCATGCCAAGGCTTGACTCCAGAAATAAATTGATATTTTTAAAAGGTGGGGAAAAAAAAAAACAACAACAAAACCAACCCTGCCGCACCTCTCCATAATTAGCTTTTTATAGCAGATTGTAATTTTGGAATTTCTTAATGTCTAAGCATGGAAATTAATTCTTAAAGTCCAAGTGTGGAAGATAAATCAAAAACTTCCTGTGTGGATTGAAAGCTTGAGCCGAGAGGCACTTTTTTAACTTCAGTGGGGGTACTAACCTTGAAAAATAAGAGTAGATTAAATAGCAGTTTAGCAAAAATTATCTTGCTGATATCTTTGTCCCAAAAAAATCCAAGGGCCTCTGTCACACTGTGCTACCTACTACTTATGAATAACCCATTATATCAATAGAACATTCATATGAATGTTGCGCTTACACATAACTTTCTTGAAGCGTCTCCAAAGGTACATCTGTGCCACCAGGATGCCACAGTTCAGCCACTGCTCCTACTGGTACCAAATCCAAGTTGCTGCAGAGTTAAAGGGTTGTACGTTGCGGTGTTAGCAAGTGATGTTATGTTGTGGTGGTGGTGCCATGTCCCACTTGATGCAAAGAGTATGTTGTGGGATCCTGGAGGCTGCTCTGCTGTTGAATTGCAGTGGCTTCTAAAAGTCGAAACTAGTTTGGAGAAGATAAAGTTTTAATGGGGTTTGGAGGTGGGGATTTGGTGGGGTTTTTTTGGCAGAGTGGTGTTTTACACACTCCACATACAAGACATTTTGGACT